ATGATGGAGTACCTATACTGCATTTACATCTCTGAAACCTAAGTATGGGCAATAAGCAAACATACCACCTAGTGGCAGGCTACCTGTTATGCTAGAAACAAAATCCATTCCCTTTTGATATAAAAAAGGGAATGAGTCTTTTCCTCATAAGACTTCAATATCCAGTAGTAAAACTACCAGCTTATAAACTTTGCAGTGTTAGAGAGAAGAAAAAAATCAAAATATGTATTTCTTTTCATTAACTGAATACTAGGGAATGGAGAAGACTTTATAACTACAGGAAGAATACAGCCTCTCATTCATCCCAGCTGTTTAATTTAATCAATTGGAAGTCTCTAATTGCATTGTGTCTTTTCAGATACTTAAATCCACTTATTGGGAGAAGAAGACTTTAGATGGTTAAAGTCACATTTGGTTGAATTTCTTTAGAAGACATAATCTCTTAGTGCAGAAAGAGATTGTCTGAAACAATCCACTGACAGACTCCCTCCCAGTACTTCTGAAGGCTGTCAGAGGACAAAGCAATCATACACAGTGGGGCTGATTCCTATAAGCCACATATGATAAAAACAGAAAAAGATTAGCCTCTTCATCAGGTAGTCACACTTTAGTCCCTGGAGAAGGTGGAATTTTACCACAACATCTGGCCAGCAGAAAATGACCACGATTGAAGAAAATGTATTTACCCATCCCTTCCTGGAAGAGAAGGTAATTCAAAGTAGCAAAGAAAAAAATGACACATTTCAAAACAATAAGGGGACAAAAAAATCTGTTCAAGGTCAAAGAAGGAATATCAGAACCTAACGGTCATTCAAGATATGCCTTCAATGAGTTTGTGGTTGTATTTAAGCATCAGAAACGTTTTTAATTTGGGGAAGGAGAGATGAAATTTAACAAAGTAAGTAGTAGACAGTTAAGAAGTGTCTGTATATGGGGCTGGTTTGAGTGTAAACACCAGCCTCCCTCTATAAGTAACAGATTACTGGCCGGGCATGGTGACTCATGCCTGTAATCCTAGCACTTTGGGAGGCAGAGGCAGGCAAATCACCTGAGGTCTGGAGTTAACGACCAACTTGGCCAACATGGTGAAATCCCATCTCCGGTAAAAATACAAAAAATGACCTGGGTGTGGTGGCTCATGCCTGTAATCCCAGCTACTCGAAAGGCTGAGGCAGAAAAATCGCTTGAACCTGGGAGGCAGAGGTTGCAGTGAGCCAAGATTAGGCCATTGCACTCCAGCCTGGGTGATAGAGTGAGACTCCATCTCATAAATAAATAAATAAAACACTACTTTTGTTACTCACCACACCCCCCAAAAAGGAGAAATTCTTGACCATGGAAAAATGTGATTTCTGGAAAGCTGCTTTTAAAAGACAAAAATCTTGCCAAGTTGTACTACCCTATTATAATAACTCACCACTGTTCTATTTCTACCTTTTTATAAAAGGACAGAACTTACACATGTTTATATATTTAAAAAAACATTACAGAAGGTACACTTTTTCCATCTTGAGATAAAATTGAACCCCTAATCCCACATTCATGGGGAGTCCCAAATGGTTAGTAAATTCTCTAGGGGCTCATGTTCTCCCAGTCATTCCCAGTTCTGATTCTCTGTTTCTGCTTAACTCCCCTCCACACTCAGCTCTCACTTCCTACATCCTCCTCTGGTCTCTTTACAGAGTCCCAATCTATTTAAAAAGCCTCTTTTCCTAATTTTCCTAAAGCATCACTTACTCATGGCAGGGGGTCTATGATATATTTTATAGAAGGTCTGAAGCCATAATGGGGATTATATTACAGCAGCCTACAGATCCCAATTAAACAAAATAACTGGTTTTATGCTGCTTAAATGAGTGAGAAATTATATAAAATTGTATGCCTAGTCTTTTTGGGAGGTGGAAAGGAAGGGTCTTGCTCTGTTACCCAGGTTGGAGTGCAGTGATGCTATCACAGCTCACCACAGCCTTGAATTCCTGGGCTCACCAAGCCTCCCACCCCAGCCTCCCAAAGTGCTGAGATTACAAGCATGAGCCACTGCACCCAGCCTGTGTGCATATTTGATTGTGTTAATGTTACCCACTAGGAGGCAAAAAGAAGGAAATATACATAAGTGTGAACAGTGGTTATCTTAATTAAATTATTGTTCATTTTTCTCTTCCTACATCTTCTTTGATGTACTTGCCTCTCTCCATGTCAAGGTGGGCGACCTCTTCTAGCCCCCATACCTTTGGGTTTCCTTTTCATATTTATAAGAGAATGTCATCTCCGCCCAGCTTAGTGAACTGTTGCAAGCCTGTGGCTTTGGGCTTTCCCATCTGCTGAGAAGAGTTGCGTTCCAGGTACTCATCAGAGATGACATCTAACTCTGTGCTGCTTAATATTTTGCAAAACTTCAGTTGAAAATAAAAAATATAATGGAAGATTGCCTGGAGGTTCTTTCCCTTTATAGAATTATGCTTTGGCAAAATGCCAAGAATGAGGGACGTTATACAAAGAGGTCCGTTGCAATTCAGTCACAGTCACTGCAGGGCATTTGAGGAACTTGGTCATCAATAACTCAAAATACTTTTTATGAGAAACTGAGAAAACTCACTTCTGTTCTTAATACTAGGGACAACTAAGCTCTTCCTAAAAAACTTCATTTTTTAAAAATCACATAACAAAATGGGATTTTCCTCTTTGCCTTACTCACTGGGAAGCCTAGAGTCAAATTTTTATTACATAGGCATACATTTTCCATACTTACCTTTGCCATATTTATCCTTCCCCTTAGTCCTAATTTATTTTATATACTTATCTTTTTATTGTCTTAAAGTTTGATGAACCAAGACAGTTATAAGAAAAGCACTTGCCTGGAGAGAGATCCAAGATGGCTGATCACTAGCAGCTCAGGATTGTAGCTCCCAGTGAAAGCGCAGAGAACGAGAGGACGCCACACTTTCAGATGAATTTTTGTTGCTCACGCACCAGGAGATTCCCAGCAGAGGAGGCCCACGGGTCGCCAGCGCGACTCCTGTGGCCAGCGAGGCGGTTTTGCCGCTGCCTTGGTGCGGTGGTTCTTGGTGCAGAGTCAGAAAAGCACCATCAATCTTAACGCCACTATTCAGGCTGGCGCAGTGGGTTGCTCAGATTTTAGCGCTGGGAATCAACAAGTTGGACGTCCACTCAGAAACCCAATTATAAAGACAGTAATTATAAAGATCACAGATGGATAAATCTATAACGAAGGGAAGAAACCAGCCTAAAAAGGCTGAGAATACCCAAAATCATAACACCTCTCCCTCTACAGGGGATCACAGTTCCTCATCGGCAACGGAACAAGGCCTGATGGAGAATGAGTGTGTTCCATTAACAGAAGCAGGCTTCAAAAGGTGGATGATAAATTTCTGTGAATTAAAATAACTTGTTCTAACCCAATGCAAAGAAACTAAGAACTTTGAAAAAAGGTTTGATGAAATGTTAACAAGAATACACAATTTAGAGAGGAATATAAGTGAATTAATGGAGCTGAAAAACACAACACGAGAACTTCGCTAAGCATGCACAAGTTTTAACAGCCGAATTCATCAAGCAGAAGAAAGGATATCAGAGGTCGAAGACCAACTTAATGAAATAAAACAAGAAGACAAGATTAGAGAAAAAAGGATAAAAAGGAACGAGCAAAGTCTCCAAGAAATATGGGACTATGTGAAAAGACCTAATCTATGTTTGATAGGTGTACCTGAATGTGACAAAGAGAATCAATCCAAGCTGGAAAATACGCTTCAGGACATTATTCAGGAAAACTTTCCCAACCTAGCAAGGCAGGACAATATTCAACTCCAGGTAATACAGAGAACACCACAAAGATATTCCTTAAGAAGACCAACTTCAAGGCACATAATCGCCAGATTCACCAGGGTTGAAATGAAAGAGAAAATACTGAGGGCAGCCAGAGAGAAAGGTCAGGTTACCCATAAAGGGAAGCCTATCAGACTCACAGCAGATCTCTCAGCAGAAACCCTACAAGCCAGAAGAGAGTGGGGGCCAATCTTCAATATCCTTAAAGAAAAGAACTTTCAACCCAGAATTTTACATCCAGCCAAACTAAGCTTCATAAGCGAAGGAAAAATAAAATCTTTTGTGAAAAAGCAAGCACTCAGAGATTTCATCACCACCAGGCCTGCTTTACAAGAGCTTCTCAAAGAACCACTACACGTAGAAAGGAACAACCAGTATCAGCCTTTCTAAAAAATACCAAAAAGTAAAGAGCATCAACATAATCAAGAATTTCCATCTAATTTACAACTAATGGGCAAAACAGCTAACATTAAATGACAGTACTAAACTCATATATATTATTATTAATTCTAAATTTAAGTCGACTAAATCCCCCAATCCAAAGACACAGACAGGCAAAAAAAAAAAGCCAAAACCCATCAGTATGCTGCATCCAGACCCATCTCACATGCAAGGATACACAAAGACTCAAAACAAAGGGATGGAGAAAGATTTACCAACCAAATGGAGAGCAAAAATAAATAAATAAATAAATAAATAAATAAATAAATAAATAAAAAGCAGGAGTTGCAATTTTTGCCTCTGATAAAATAGACTTCAAAGCAACAAAGATCATAAGAAGCAAAGAAGGATATTACATAATGATAAAAGGATCAATGCAACAAGAAGAGCTAAAGATCCTAAATATATATGCACCCAATACAGGAATACCCAGATATATAAGACTTATAAACAGACTTAGACTCCCACACAATAATAGTGGGAGACTTCAACATCAATATTATATAGATCAATGAGACAGAAAATTAACAACGATATCCAGGATTTGAACTCAGATCTGGAACAAGTAAACTTAATTAACATTTATAGAACTCTCCACTTTAAATACACAAAACATACACTCTTATCAGTACCACATCACACCTATTTACAGGTTTAAATGAATTATTGGTTGGTTGCTTGTTTGTTACTTTCTTCCCTCATTTTTTTTTTTCATGTCTCTATTATGAAGCACAATTATAGGTATACCCATTTTTTAGACTGCATTCTAGCCCAGGCAATAAAGCAATACCCCCGTTCTCTCTCCCTCTTCCTCTTCCTCTCCTTCATTTTTTTTTATCCTTTCTTTCTTTCTTTCTTTTTTTAAAAAAAGAAAAGCACTTGCCCTACTGTTATAAAGGAAAACAAATTTGAACAACTGCTCATAGAATGATAGAGAGACATATGATTAGAACTTTCTTCCACTCTTCAGTAAACAAGACAGCCAGTGTCTTCTTTGGCAAAGCAACACTGATCAACGAAAAGAAGAATAGTTCAATATTTTTTCTATGAATCCTGGGCTGTTTTCCATAAGAAAGCTGGATCTCTTTAAGAAATTCTGAGCTGGAAAGATGTTTTCATTAAACCTATTCCAACAGTTTTTCCTCTGTGGTTTGTCCTGGGAAAATGTGTTTGCATGAGTGTACCTGGTTGCTTGTTTTGTATCAGCAAAAGGACACCTTAATATTCACTCTTTAGGAAAGCATGTATATAAGGAAGAATCACATGAATTTCTGTTCCAGGGCCCTCCAGAGTAGTAATAGGTTCTAGCTCTGCTTAGCTGGAGATAAGTCACATGAGACAGAAAACCTGGAATTTCATGGCAGAGCTTTTGTATACCTCCTGTTGTGTAAAAGTTACTGTGTGATCATCATATTGCCTCTTTGGAACTCAGTAGGAAGTATTAAAAGCACGTAATTTTAAGTATTAGCGGTTAGAGAAAAGATGTTTGCTGTCATGTTTAAGACATTCCCTTCAACATAATCCAGAGATGACTTGTTTTTCCTTCCTCAATAACTTTCTAGAAAAACTCTCATCCTTCTTTACTGAAATGGAGCTGTACATTGTCTCAGGACTGTTCTGTAGAGCCTCAGTTGTCACTAATGCCCTTCCCCACAAACATAAGCCCCCTGTTATTAAAAAGTCAAAAAGTAACAGATGCTGGCAAGATTATGGAGAAAAAGGAAGTCTTATATACTGTTTGTGGGAGTGTAAATTAGTTCAACCATTGTGGAAGACAGCATCATGATTCCTCAAAGAAATAAAGACAGAAATACCATTCATCCCAGCCATCCCATTACTGGGTATATACCTAAAGGCATATAAATAATTATATTATAAAAACACGTGCATGTGTATCTTCACTGCAACACTATTCACAATAGCAAAGATATGGAATCAACCTAAATGCCCAACAATGATAGACTGGATAAAGAAAATGTGTTACATATACACTACGGAATACTATGCAGCCATGAAAAAGAATGAGATCATGTCCTTTGCAGGGACATGGATGGAGCTGGAGGCCATCATCCTCAGCAAACTAAGGCAGGAACAGAAAACCAAATACTGCATGCTGTCATGAGTAAGTGCAAGCTAAATGATGAGAACACATGGACACATAGAGAGAAACAAGAGACAATGGAGCTGATCAGATGGTAGAAGTTGGGAGGAGATAGAAGATCAGGAAAAATAACTAATGGGTACTAGGTTTAATGCCTAGGTGATGAATAATCTGTACAACAAATTCCCTTGACATAAGTTTACATATGTAACAAAACTGTACATGTATCCCTGAACTTAAAAGTTTAAAAAAGCCCTCAAAAGATGACTGTATGACTGTAAGCAACAATAGTTAAGATGCTGGAGTTAACTAAGGTCTTACTATGTGCCTGGAACATAGTAATGCAAAGCTCTTTATTAAGATCTCATTGTGCTTCACCACCAGCCTTCTAAGTAGGTGCTGTGGTCTGAGTGTTTGTGTCCCTTACAAATTCCTAAGCTGAATTGTAATTACCAACATGATGGTATTAGAAGATGGGGCATCTGGGAGGTGATGAGATCATGAGGGACTAGAGCCTTTGTAAGAGGTCTGAGGAAGCTGGTTTTTTCCTTCTACCATATGAGGATGTTGCCTAGAAGTTGCCAGCCACAAGGAACAGGCCCACACCAGACGCCAAATCTGCTGGCACCTTTGATCTTGGGCTTCCCAGCCTCCAGAATTATCAGCAATAAATTTCTATTGTTTATGGATTATCCCATTTAACATATTTTGTTAGAGCAGTGGCAAGGCACTAAGATACTAGGTCTATCTCCATTTTAATGTTTAGCCTCAGACCACTGAGTAACTTGTCCACGGTCAGACAGCTATGAGATGACAGAAACAGGATTCAAACCCAGATCTGTCCAACTCTCAAATATATGCTCTTAAACATGATGTCATTGGGACTCCATTTGTCCAGATGAGCAGAAAGTCTAAATCCTCTTTTCATGGCTTGCTCACCCCAATAGAGATAAGAAGTTCTAGGTACTTGCTCATGGGCAGAGGGTCTGCCAGTCCTGCTTTCTCCAATTTATCCCCTAGAGCCAGAACTTAGTCATGCTTCTTTGATCTCCAGAGGACCATAATAGCTTCCAAAAGAAGATAGTTGCTTTAGAAAACAAAATGATTCAAGAAACCTGGTGTCCCATGAAGTTTAAAATGGTCTTCCATTGGCTAACCCTGACATCACTAAAATGCAGGGTTACCTCCAGCTATGTCCAAAACAGTTTAAGTGAGGCTGGGCCTCTACCCCAGAGTTTCTTATGACAATGTTAGCATTCCCAGAGGGTGTCTTGGAAATATGAGGGCACATTTTAGTTGTCACAATGACTGAAGGCTTTGTGTTGCTGACTTTTAGAGGGCCAGGATTCTAGACATCCTGCAAAGCAGTGGCATATCCTACACATCAGGAAAAATGGTCTACAGGAGGCTGAGTCAGGAGAATCACTTGAGGTCAGGAGTTCAAGACCATCCTAGGCAACATAGCAAGACCTTGTCTCTATAAGTAATAAAACCTTAGCCAGGCACAGTGATGCATGCCTGTAGTCCCAGCTACTCAGGAGGCTGAGGAAGGAGGATGACTGGGAGCTCAGAAGTTAAGACTTCAGTAAGTTATGATCATTCCACTGCACTCCAGCCTGAGCAAAACAGCAAGACCCTGAAAAAAAAAAAGGTCTATATGCCTCACATACCCAAAGATGTTCCAACAGGCGTCAAGAGTTTCCTCCTTATTTATAATTATCTGAGCAAAGATTTGATTTTGTCTTATGTATAAGCAAAAATTACTTTGTTATAATTTTACTATAACTGAATTTTCCAGGAATGCAGCCAGTATGTCTAGAAAAGGGAAGGTTGTTATGTATTTAAGCTGAACATCACCAACTGTGGCTCACCATTTCGGAAAATCCATATCACTAACAGCCACACTACTTGTGATATGACAGTGTCCATTCTATTCTACTATACCAGTATCATATGGATATGCTTGCCTATAGGTAGCCACATTGACGAAGATCCTACATGTGCGATATCTGACCACTGTATATTGTCTCTGATGTGGTTTGGCCATGCTGCTTTTTTATAAATTGTTTTCCTTCATATTTCCTTTATATTATACTAAGAATATTATTTTGATTATTTTTGGTTGATTAAATATGTATATATATCTTATCTATGATTTTCATTTCAGGACAGGGAAAGGGCATTTCAAGATATTTCTTACCTGAAGGGGCAACTGATATTATTGGGAATCACTCTACTCTCCTGCCTAACAGAGTACAAACCTCTATCTAGGTAATGTGGATCTTCAGGTTAAAAAAAATGAGCTTCTTTGCTCAGTGTTATCTCAGCTCAGGGTGCTCTATGCCAAAAGTGATTTGGGCTACCAGCTGCCATCTTTTTAGATTCACATGCCCAAGCCACTTGCTTAAAGCAGAATCCTTCACTTTTTGGAACAAGGCAGGATCCAATGCCATTGCTAACATCCAGCACAACTCTGTGTATCCACATAGGCACTTTAATATAGTGACCTTTTCATCGTCCTATGGTATTGGATCACCGAGCCCATTCAAGGGTTTCTGTAATCTGAAATTACAAGGAGAGGAGGTCGAAAGATTTTGGTCCCTTCCCTCCCAGGAGGGCCATTTAAGTCATTAGGCAAGTTTACATACCTCTATCCTGCTTTCTTTCCTACAATTTAAAATTCTTAATATCTATACACTGTCCCAGTGAAAACCTCACTGTACACTCCACCAATACTACTGATAGTCACTTTAGACATTCATTCTTTCTTTGGATCCAGATGAAATGCTATAAAAGGCCAGAGGCTGAGCAAGAATTATTTCCTTTCCCCAACTGAAGAAAGTAAGGCTCAGAAGGAGTTAAGGGACTTTGGCAAGGACATAGAGCTTGTGAATAACAGAGCCTGGACAAAAACCTTAGCTTTTGAATCCAAATGCCAGGGTCACACCATATTAAGGTGATGAAAAATTTTGCAAAGCCATTTTAGAGTCAAACAAGTTCCTTCTACAACACTGCTTTGAAAGTTTTTTCTTTCTTTCTTAAGCAAGGTAACTAGAGTCATCCTCTAGACAAGCAGAAAAAATATTACTTACAATTTAGATGGCACTTTATGCTGAATATGGGCCAAAAACCCTTCTAACACACAACTCATGGACACTTTATACCCAAACTCCCAGCTGTTACTTGCTCAGCTGCTTATTAATGGGACATGCCAACATAGCTTTACATCTTGTCTGGGGCCTGCAGACTTCATATTGAAATTCTCAAACATATCCACCTTATGAGTCCCTGCATTCCTGAACTCAAGGTCCTGCAGAACCTGAGGAAAAGCCAGAAGTTTAAAGAGTGCACTTTTTAGTATGTTTTCCTGATCATAATGAGGGAGCTAAGGTCTCTTCATGCTCTGAAATCCTATGTTGCTTTGATAAGGGCCACTCTTCCTTTCCCTTATCAAAAACTGGGCATCCACCAGTCTCCTCTCTGGCACCTCTGAACTCTGGAGAGCAAGCCAGTGCTCTCCTGAGCACCTCTGAGAGCTCACCCAGACCCGAGAACTACATGCAGCTCTGTAAAGGAGAGTGGCTACAGGCTTCTGGGACCTGAAAAACTGGTACTCACTACAACCAATGGGAGCATCTTCAGGTTGAACACAGGACAGACATGGGTATCCTGCCTCTGCAATGCCTACTCATCAGAGGTTATATGTTACGACTGGTGCTTGATCTACATGGTCTATGTCAATGAACAAATACCATAGATTTATATGTGGTGCTTTAAATTACACACAGTGGACGCTTACTGTTAACTTCTTTCCATGAAACAACTTTAGAACAAGGTAAGTGTCTCGTGTATCTGGTCCAAGACTCTGTACTGCCACGTTACAAGAGGATCACAGTACAAAGTGTCATGTCTCTGAGAGCTTCATGCTATGTACTCCAAAGGACACAACTTCATCAAGGCTTTAAACATTTTCGGTCTGAGCTCTGATTGCAGCAGAATTTCAGTGGTTACGGGAACATGATAAGTATAGTCTGGATACAGATTACCCTCGTGAGTCACTTAAGGGGTGCTTTAAGTGCGTGCATGCTGGGGCTCCAACTGTGGGCTCCGTGGTTATGGTCCCAAACATTACAAATGTCAATGCACTTGAAGAAAAGGTTAAAAATAACAAAGGAAGACAAAATTACATGGCAAAAAGAGTAATGCTTCTGTGATCTCCAACCTTATTGAACATGACGACATGTATATAATGACAAAAATTCCACAGATCTACTCCCACATGATTCTAGAGATCAAGACCAAAGGAAACACAGGACTGTAGCAGGTATTTCTTGATGAGAAAAGAGAACATCATTTTTGGGGAGAAAGGGGAGTTTTTATGGGGGCAGGAGTTTCCAAGTACCCACACCAAGGGATTGATTTAGGCTCTGGAAGGAAAGACACTGAAAATTTTTCAGCAAAAGTAATGTGTATAACAACAACAACAAAAAGACAAAGCTGAGAAGATGAATTTGGTAGTGAAATTATAAGCAGATGTCACAAAACATCACAGTCTCTTATTTAATCCATATAAACCAAGAACTCCCACTAAACTCCCAAGAAGATTTTTTTTTAATTAACCAGTGAGTATCTGGGG